TATTTATAAAGAGAGAGAAAAATCCTAGTCTTCTTTCTTTATTTATTTTTTCCTCCTTTCTTTCTGACTCTCTTCCCACCTTTCCTGTGCCAGTCTTGTCTCATGACGTGTCCTGTGTTACATGGGCTGTGTGGCTACATCCCATGCTGCAAAAATATCTCAGGAAAATACAGGTAAAATCCTGGATTCCTTTTCATTATGGGGAATTGGGATGGTTAACAATTACCAGAAAAAAACAAAACACCTTGTGAGAGAGCAAGGTGAGATGAAGGGAGAAGAGTGTTAGCTTTTGAGCTAGAAATGTCCAGCGACTCACATTTCCTTTTTTCCTACACATATCAGGGACACCAATCCCAGTGCACAGTGCAGCAAGAGGAACACATTTTATTGAATTTCTGCAAGCAGAGGTATCTGTCAATCTAAGTTTAAATCACTTAGTGTTCACCACAAGCTGTGGGAGTCCCAGGTGACATCAAAATGTAGGTTTTCTGCACTGGATTCTGCACTGGATTAGCATCTGGTGGGGGTTCCATGGTCCAGCAGTGTCCAATAATCCAACGCTGAACCATTGGGTTAGGTTATATGAAGCTTCACCCCAGTAGTCCAGCATTTTTCCTGGATGTCCCACGTTCAGAGGGAGTTGCACAATGACTTGTTTCAGTATTTGGCTGAAATAAGAACTGCGTGGTGGTTTCTTGGTGGCCATACATGATCTATATGTGAGCCATCAGCTTCCTGAGCTGATCACTCTGTTCCCTTTTCTTGCAGGGTACAGACTGTGAAGGGTTTTTTTGCTGCATTTTTCCTTCCCCATAGGATTCTTCACTTCCTGTATTAAAGTTTGTTCTTGGCATTGCCTGAAAATAGTTCATCACTGCAAATAATAGTTATAACCACCAGAGATACATAAGTACACTTTGAAGTGAGTGAATCAATAATACGGTTTTGTATTTTTGTTTTGCTGTGTGAATTTATCATCCTTCTCCATATCTCCATAGAGTGCCTATCAGTAGGATTGCTAAAATTGCCTCCATCCCTGTTCTGCAGCTAAAATAAGTATAAGAAACTAATGTATCTGTAGAAATGTATATTGGTAAAGAACTAGAGGGATAGCATGAAGGAGAATTTTTTTTTTTTCACAGCAGTGCAGTAATCCCCAGACCACAGTTTGCAGGAAGACTATGGACAGAAGACCTTGGGCTTCCAAAAGTTTGGAAGTCCTAGAGGAACACAGCCATGCATGGCACAATAGCACATCCCAGAACACAACTTAGCACAGGAAGAATATATGATTTGTAGGATTTTTAAGAACTGCTGATCTGGGGTAAGATCCAAGGAATAGTTATATATTCTAAAATGGTAATGTTATTAATTAGATAGTGTCCCATATTTCCTGGAGCTATATAGGTATCTTTAATAACATAGGATCTTGTTGGACATAACTTTGGTACAATATTATGATGACATGCAAAAGAAGCTCACCCCTCCATTTGCAGCTTTATAAGGTGACAAGAGAAATCCTTAATAAGCCACAAGTAGAATATCATAAAAAGTGTTTCACACCTGTCTCCCCTCCCCTTCCCACACTTTGTTGGCTGCCCAGCAGTGTATTGAATTTAACACACATTTACCTGTGGTGAGACAATATTTTCAGAGGATCAGTGCTTAACAGCAGGACTATAGTACAGTTCATTGTAAAACTACCATGTGAGTGGATTCAGCCTTTGAAGTATTTTTTTCCAAAGTACTATAACAAGAAAGGGAGAATCCAGACGTCCTGGCTCTTCTATTAGCAACTTGAAGGGCATACCCTTTGCAAGAGGGTTAATATCAGTTGTCATTCCTTGTGGGTATTTATTGCCAACAGCAACATCATAATTCTGCCTGGTAAAGTAATGCTAATTCCAGACTGTAGCCTTTGCAAAAATGATGGCAAAGAGAGAGGCATTTCAGGAAATATTTAAATAAGTGAAGTACCTGGCACAATGGAAACTGGCAGCTCTATCTAGAGCACTTCATTTTCTTTTTCTTTTTTTTTTTTTTTTTTTTTTTTTTCCAGATTTGTCTTTCATTTGTTTCTTCGGTCTCTCTGTATATTTCTGCAGTGCCTGATACAGGAACGGTGTGTTAGCACGCCTTAATATTGAAGAGTTTATGCTAGTTGTTAGTTATACATCATTTAGGGCTGTGATCATAAATTGTTCAATCACAAGGTTTAGTCAAAGCTAGCATTCTTTACTGATGTCTTTTCCCAAGGGTGTTGAAAATTCGATTGTTCAAAGTGCAAATATGGTTTAGCAATCCCTTCCAAGAACCATTTATCAGAAATCCTAAGGAGGTAACGTATAAAAGTGGGATAGGAAACCTGCACATTAAATGGGATTTACCAGCCAAAGCCTTTGGAACTGCTTTCCTGTGAATGACTAGAATGGAGCAGAACAAAGTCAATTACTGCCTGTAATTAAGGAGTGGATGCATTTAAACTGTAGAGAGCAGTAGCAGTCTTCTTGAAACTGTCTAGTTACTCTGAAGATTAGTCTCAGGAAAGAAAGAAAAGGACTTGAACTGTATCTTACAGAAAGTATATTTTAAATGAATTCTCTTCCCTCCATTCTATGATCTGTTTTTACAGATTTGCTCATAAAACACTGATAATATATGATTATCAAAACAACACATTCAGACAAAGAAACTTTCAACATGTATTTTGCTTTGGTCTTGTTAGCAATGGAGTATCTCTTTTGCATATCATACAGTGCAAATGTTTATGCAGTGCTGAATACTTGTATTTTAATAAAGCTTGAATTTACCGAGCGGAAGACTGAACTATGTTGTGTCCTTTTTAAGCCTTCAGAATACAGTAAATCTAATTATATATGTTGCTCTGACTTTGAAAATGTTATTCCATTTTATAATTTTAATAATGATTTGTTTATACTGAGAGAGAGGCATTAGATTGAATTGTTGCCTGTGTTTAGTCTAATTCATATCTGCATGTATACATTAATAAATTGTGATATAATATATTTTGAACCCAAACCTTGCCGTGTGAGCCAGGCACAGGACTGGAGGTCAGCTCTTTCAACTGCTCACCTTAAGTTGGATTTTGACTTCTTTTTTTTTTTTTTTTTTTTTTCCCCCCCCTTTTGATAACGGGAACAGTGAGCGTGTGAGTAGCGCTTACCATGATGGCTGTGGACTAGTAAAGGAATTAAAATTTCCCCACTAACTAACTCTCCCGTGCACACGGGGAGCAACGGGTGGCTAGAGGTCTGCTCCTGCTGGGTGCGGACAGGACGGGATGAACATCTGCAGCCGGGCAGCCTCCGAGCCTGCACCAGGGGACCATTCCCACATTCTCCGCAGCGCTCTCACAGGATGTCTCCGCTGGAGCTGCGCTGACGGGATTTTCCTTAATGCTGATGACTTTGGAAACCTTCCTTACAGGCATTTCCTCAATAAAGGGAGGGTTATAGAACAATTAATAAAACATTAAGCTGTTTTGTCCTTTTTCTTTTTTTTTTTTTTTTTTTTTCCCTGGTGGTATTTCAATTTTAAAAAAGATGCGGGGAGTACCCAGGCTGGTGAGGATCTGTTGTTTCTTTTATGCTTTAGTAAAAACTCTTGAGATGGGGCAGATGCAGTGAAACAGTAGCACTTCAGGTCGATGGATTTACATAAATAGGCTGCGCCAGGTCTTAACGGCTTTGATCTGCTTTTCCTCACACTTCGGTCAGACAGAAATCTCTGTTGTTCACTGTGTTCAGCCAGTCCCTGAAAAATACCTGAAAAGGTTTTGGTCCTGAATAATGCCATGCCCCAATGATCATTCCAATGTGCAGACTAAACCTGCATCCCCAAATGTGCAATTCCCACATGTGGATGCTACTGAGTTTTGCACAAGCCAAATAAGAAAAAAAGCTTTGATTTCAGAGCTGGCAGGTGTTGTACATGGGCAGGACGAGTTCCTACCCCTCACAAAACGTGGTAGAGGTGCAGCACTCCGTTCACTTCCCTGCAAACAAGTAGAACTTCTGTGCCCTGGATTATGCTCTGTGACCACATGCACCAGGGCTCTGCTGAATAATTCCAGGGCAAAACACTGTAGAGCTCTGTGCCTCAGTTTTGCCATCTGTAAAATGGTTGTTTCAACCTGCTGTATAAAATACCTGGAAATCTATTCTGGTGAACAGATACATATATATATATGTGTGTGTGTGTATATGTATGTTAAAAAAAAAAAAAAAAGAAGTGGTATATCATTACTATCACGGTGGTTTACAGAAGTTCAAACCAGCAGAATATGTGTGCATATTTCCACCAAATATTGTTAGTCAGTGAAACAGCATTATCAGGGGACTGAATATTCTTTTGATAAATATTCCCAGTGAGTGGGTCAAAAATGTAAATCGACTTCTATTCAGACAAACTGGGGATTTTTTTCATGATAAATGGGCTCCTAATTACTCTGCTACAGCCATCTTTGATGGTATTTTTTTTTTATGTGAAAAAGAGTGACATTATTAATTTTACCTAAATGCTTGGAAGTGGACTCTGGAAATACAGGTATATAATAAGTGTGTAAATTCAATAATAGAGGTACCAGATATAAAAATAATAAAACTAAAATAGAAATGGAAACTGAAAACAACAAGAATTCTCATATTGCATTAATTTCTTTATGGGGTGCTTTGATTTACATTTGAACTGTGTCTTGTAGCATGGAGTTTCCTGGCTTTTGTTAACTTTTGTCACATTCCTATTAGTTTTGCACTATTTGTGTTCAGTGGTTGCATTGCTGAGACAATATCTCGTTTGTTGTGACATATTCAAAACAGTTTTCAGACAGAGGTTCAAAACTCCTCAGTAACTCGGCACTCCAGGAGATAATTATCCTTGGTACAAAGGAGAAGCATTTGGGTGTGTAGGAGAGAAAATAGAAGAAAATCATCTGTTTGGTGTGTGCTTTACTTACCTGTGTGTGCCCATGCCCTCCCCAGATCACGACAGTGTCAGGAAATGAGTTCCTCCTCCAGTCGGATATCGACTTTCTCATATTGGATTGGTTCCACGCTATCAAAAATGCAATTGACAGATTGGTATGTATTTGTTTTGGCTGTTACCTTTATTAATTAAGATGTAGCAATTTCAACTTCATTTGCTTAGGCATCTCTACAGGTTTTAGGCAGTCAGCAGCTAGCTAGACATTCCTTTCTCTGAAGGATATAAAAATATATATGCAAATCTACTAAAAAATGTCAGATAAACAAGGTTGTTGAGCAAAAATGTCATTTGCTTCTTGCCTCGAAACAGAACGCTACATTTATTTCTCTGAAATAACAAGGACATTGGTTTGCTGAGGGTTGTAAAAGCACACAAGCACTTAATAACTAATGAATTTTTGCATTTTCTGTTTATGCAGCCTACAGTATATAATCTTCAATAGAACTATTAATACATTTGAGCCTTTTATGAATTTTTGTATTACTTATTCACAAGAATAACACTAGCAAATAATATTCCTTTGTAACTGATTGCTGTTATTCTCCCAGGAAGGCTGGGGGTTTTCTACTAGAAGTAAGCAGGGCTGCATTTTATTAAAACAGTTTTTAATTACCAAACCAGATTCAGCTGTAGCTTTTTCTTTCTTTTTTGCCACTCTCAGTACAAATTCTAAATGTCTTCCTCCTATCCCTGCCTGATCCAAGAACATATTTTTTTAGAGGGCACTGACTTTCCTTGTTCACTGCAGAGTCTGATGTGAGAAAAATATCCCCATTTCTTGCATTTTTCAGAGGTTTTACTGCAATGGAATTGGCAGAGCGGGCAGAGGCAGCCTTTTTGAAAGGGTTAATCTTAACACAGCTACTGTTTCCTTAAAGAGCTACAAACATTATATTACCCCGAGGCTATAATCAGCCAAGGAAAGTTTGATCTGATCATGTATGTCTTCATATTGTGCATTTCATTGGGTGTGCGAGGATACTGATATCCTACTGAAGATTGTGGGGTGGAGTTTTCCGTGGAGACTCAGAACAATTTTTTTTTTTTTTTTTTTTTTAATGTTAGTCAGCTAAACATCTAACAGACTTGATTATTTTTTTTTTTTTTTTTAGTGTAACTAAGGTGGTATTGTGGCCTCAGCATTTCTGAGCCTGCAGCAAATCACAGCAGCACTGGGGCACAGCTCCTAAATGGTTTGGGTACCGGAGGGCAGGGCTCGTCCTGGCACAGGTTTGCCCTTGCTGGGTGTGCAGCACAGGGTGCCACCACGGGTGACCACTTCAGACGTGTCATTTATTTCAGATTTAAAATTCTGAATGAGTGTGTAAAGCCTTGCAGCTTTCCAGGCTGTTTGGAAGGCTAAACCTCACCTGAGCAAATGCCATAGGAAGAGAGGTGTGATTAGCCAAAAGATCATCTCCTTTTGGCTTTTATTTTTTCATCTTTTCTCCATTAATGGTCCCTAATTGTCACTTGGTATGTCAGTGAAAAAGAGCAAGAGAGATGTCGTGTCCCCCCCCCCCCCCTTTTCCTAGGCTTAGACCAGCAGAATCCAACCCCAAATTTGTAAGGATGTTTGAAGCAATTGTGTTTGCAAGAATATCTACTGTAACTATCTACCCAGAAAGGCAATTTAAGCAACCTTCCTCTTTGCAAGCATTTGGAAGTAGCCTGCAATGTGGAAATAATTTTGGTCTCTAAAGTCTAAAGAAGTAGGCCTTTTGTTTTCCTCACTTAAATGGGAATTTATCTCAGAAATTAAGATCAGTCTGTCAGGGCCATAAAAGCTCTGCCATATGACAAATTTTGCATTACACTTTCCTTAAATTATATACTCTCTGCATCACTTGCTGTGTGTGTGTGTCTGTTAGCTTCTGATTCTGTACTGGCATTCTGTAATCTCTTGCTTCATTCTTACAAATAATAATTTTATTAAAAGCATACACATATGTGTGTGTATATATATATTCTTTTCCCAGCCAAAAGAACGGAGTTGTACATCGAGAAATTTGGAGTTCAAACTCAGAAGATCCTCCAGCATCGAATTACTGAATAGCTTAGACACTGAATCCAAAGAACCAAAGCCTGAACACAGAAAATCTTTAAGTAAGGCTTTTTTCTTTTCTGATTTTTTTTTTTTATTTTTTTTTTTCCTTTCCTTTTTAAATGACTATGCCATTACAGGGTAAGATAATTTTTATTACATACAGAATGTAAGGAAGATCACTGAGAATTTTAAAGCTGAATGTGTTCTGTGCTGATATACATAACTTGCATTTAAGTAAAGACAGTTACTAGCTCCACACTTCTAAAGGGTGACATTCTCTCCTAAGCAAAATAAATTTGTTTAGGAGCAAAGACATTTATTCAAGCCATTTATTTTTAAAAATAAGCAACATGAGTCCTATGTTAATGGTCTATTGCAGTTGCTTTGTTTCCATTTTAGTAAAATACCTCAAATTGCCAGAGTAATTTTGTCTGTTGTATATTTATACACTGAATGGCTGAAAGATCTGACATATCCTCTGTAGCCAACAATCAGTGATATATCTATAATTTTATAGAAGGTAAATTCCAGGGATCAAGGTTGATTTTTGTCAGTGTGATTAGAAAAAAAAGTGATCTAAGACTAGCAGGGGTGTGCTTTACTCCACTGAGACTTTCCTTCTCCAGTTTGTGCCGAGATGCTCATGATGTTGTGGGCAGTAGATGCAGGAGATGGTGGTGACCCTGAATCACTCGCTCAGTATTTTTTTAATTTCGCCCTCTCTCTTGAATCCTTGTTTTTCTTCTTTGTTTGGCACATACAGCTTCTAATGTAAGCACCGTGACAGCTTTAGACTCACAAGCTGGTACGAGATACCTATAGGTATCGAAATGCTGTGTAGGAATTTGCCTGAATGCATTTCAGTGCAGGATCAAAGCCTTAGACGTTAAAAAAAAAAAAAAAAAAAAAAAAAAAAAAAAAAAAAAAAGAGTTGCATTAAAAAACCCAAACATAGCTATTTTTAATGAAAATTATCCACATGATCATAAATATATGCACACATGCATGAGTGCACACACACACACAAATACAGAGATTCATTAAATAATCTCTTTTTGCAGACCAAAGCTTTTTGTTGTTGTTTTCCTATTATCTTGGAGAGTTGGGCTTTTTTTAAGGTTTTTCTTTTTGTTATAAAATATAAAGTAGCCTGAATGCAGCTTGTGAAAAATTGTCCCAATATCTTTGTACTGTGTGTTCCATTGCATTTCTCAGAGGAAGAAAAATAAGACTGAGAGCATGGTAAGTTTCGAGGGTCTGATTCTGCTCTTATTGTAGCTAATAGCAAAATGCCCATAAACTGTCTCAGCACTCGGGGAATTTTTATTTATTTATTTAGACTTCTCACATATCTTTAAATGATAATTTGTCAGACAAAACAGAAAAAGTGAATATGAGCAGTGACAGAGACTTAGTCTACATTTCTTTTCAAACCTTAGAGAATCCTGAATAACCTCCGTTTTATTAAAGGCTATTTAAACTATTGAAAAATGTGAAAATATCTGCTGTGAAATCTCACTGAATTGAAGCTTGTATTTAACTACTGTAGATTGGATTGCTTCTAAGATATGTATTCAGAACTTTTTTTGGCCCCTTGAGATCAAGCAATTATGTGGAATTAGAAAAATCATATTATTCACTTACTTATTAGTAGTCTAAGCACAAACTGTATTGTCAGTTTTCTGCCTTTGGCTTTCTGTGCCCTTAATGTTCACACAAGTATCGTAGCCAGAATTATCGGCAGCTAGAGCCAAAATTGCTTTAAAAAGGCATGAGAACTGGTAATGACACATTGTTAGCAGTTAACAGGTGGTCGTTTCATTGTCCAGTTTGACTGCAGAGCAGAGAGAAGATATGTGCAATATCTTCAAGTGTGTTTATAAACTTCTTACAAAGTTTAACAATTTTATAATTTTATAGTGCTCTTATATTATTGACTACTACCAATGTCAAATCCAAACAAAGGAGATTTTTTTAAAATTGCTTACAACTCCACCAGTTTAACACAGACGGTGAGCAACCGATGTGTTAACAGGCCACCCCCCCACCTCCACAATCTTTAATGAAATATTCAGACAGTTCAGATTCATTTGTATTTACCTTTTCTACATTTTAAAGGCTGCAAAAAATGTCCTGTTTTAGACTTGGTACTGCTGTGTCACTGGGGTTTTTTAGCAGCACAAGTGTATAAAAGACAGGTATATTCTCACAAAACTATTCCAGTAATTCACTCTTTAATTTAAAACTGGGGAGACTGTCCCTAGAGACTTAGTAGCAGGAATTTGGTTTTTATGTTTAATCCTAATTGCTTCTGCTTACACTACAAGGACAAATGGTAATTCTCAGTTATGCTTTTTGAGCTGTAGACACTGATTTCATTGAAAATTGGGCTCAAACTGCCAGGCTCAATTTCCAAAGTTCAGAGAGTGTCCGTCTTCTTGGTCATGCAGCTTTTCAGTGGCTTCTCATCCAGTTTGGATTCAACTCATGTTGTAATTGAAGTTTTCTTGAGCTAAGAAGAAACCAAGGATGGCCTTGGGGAACATTACCAGAATATGTAAAACTGTGATCCTACTTTCAAAAACATAGAAAGAGATTACTTTTTATTTTACGATGCCAACTATTTTACTGGTTTAATTTATGCAGCTAATGTTGGGTCAGAAAGAACACGTTTTCACCCTAGCAACCTCCCCCATTAGAAGATGTATACATTTGGTGCAAGGAAATTGTCTTGCAGCACTGCTCCTTTTTATGCAAATAAATGTTGTTCTAAACCGATAATTTTTAAAATTAGTGGCAGACTTCATAATTTCCAAGTAATTTAGTTATCATTCAGACTGTAGGTTTTGGGGTTTTTTCTCTTAAGGTTGCCAAAAAACCTCCTAATTAGTACCAATTATAATTGGATCTGCTGGTAGGTGGTCTGCCACGTTAATTTTATACCACATTAAACCAGGCACCTGGGTTAGGCTGAAAGTAGAGATGCTGTTGTGGTGCATAGGAGGTAGGGAATGGATCTGTGAGTTGCACTGTTCCCAGAAATCGTTCAGCTCTCCAAGAACCAAGAGACTTTCCTGGGCATATGGACCAGAGGACCTGTCAGGAGAGTCGCGTTGTGGGCAGCGAAGTCAACTCCACGCTCTCTGTGAAGCTCGGCAATGCTTTTTCTGTCCGTGGTCGCTTTGTGGTTTGCATTTTGGCCATCGTCTGGGAATTTTGTCACTCAGGAGTGACCTCTTGTGGAAGAGCCTGGGCTGGAGTCGCTATCGATTGTCGGAGGGGATCAATTCCCCTTCTACTCCCCCTTTTCCGGATGGAAACAAACGGCTTCGCAGTAGGAAGAGTGCCCTTTGGCTACCGTATCAATCTGAGGGCTGCTCTTGTCAAAATGCACAATCACAAGCTTGATAATGCAATCCATTCCCCAAGCACTATATTTCCAACCTGTTCTCCATCATTTCCTTATGGCGTCACATTTACTCAGTTCATCACATTCTTATTAATATTTTAGGTTTCCTTGAAAGTGATGGAATTCTATTTTTATTACAAAAGCAACAAGAATAAATACTAATTGTTGTCAGTTATTTCCTTATGTAGTGGGAACAGTAATTTGTTCCTCAGCTTTAGGTTGCCAAAGCAAAATAATTAAATATTTTAGACATTTAAAAAATCTGTGATATTAGATAAATGCAATTTGATCTCCTTGTTTGCCACATAAAAGCTGGAACTGCCTGAATTGATAAGATTGAATTGCATTATATTTATTGTTTCTACTCGCATATTTTTCTTATCTTCAAGAACACTTTACTTAAAACCGGGTGGTTAGTTATGCAGCCCTGCGACAGATCCTGGAAAATCTCTTCCATATTTGAATTCTAGCTTGAGGTGCCATGACTAGAGCACCAACATTGTTTAAAAAATATACATAAATAGCTATAGCTATAGCTATAGATCTGAAAAGGAAAGCCTTGATGGGTTGTGCAGTATTATTGCTATTCATGATCACTTTGGTGCCTCAGTAAGAGTAGTCAGGGATCCGGGCGTCATTGTGCCAGACAGTATGCAACATTGAAGTAAGACAGTTCCAGCTCTCAGCCTGAATAAGGACAAGTTGCAACAGGTGGAAAGAGCGAACAAAAGCAGGGGGTGGAAGGAAAAGTTGACAGCAAAGCCGACATGTCATGCATATTAAACAGGAGGCTTGGGATTCCTTTCTGCTCTTCGTTAGGACCGGGGTCTTAGCCCTGGCACCCTGGCCACTGGCCAACTCAAATAATGATATTTTCCTTACCTAAATTCCTCTTATGCTTTCAACAGGGTGCGATGGGTCTTTTTAGTCCCAAAGGGCGAAGCATCGCTCTGGGATGCCACAGCCCTTGCACACTTCCCTGGGGAATGGCCTCAGGGCAGTGTCTGGGAATATGCCTCCTAGCATCCTTTTAATCAGGAAGAAGAAAAAAATAACCTTTAGATCATAATATTGATTCACCTTCAGAGGTAGTTGCTGCAAAGTCATCTGGGCTCTGAAATCTGCTTTGGTTTCATAAAGGTACAGTTTTAAGTCAGGCACCCTGTCCCTAGTGTTTAGCAAAGTGTCTGTTTTTAAAAATTGCCCAGAGTTGCTTATCTTGTTTCACTCATTTTTTGTTACTTCAGAAGGCTGAATTTTGAAACTCAAAGCGTGGCATGTAAATATTCCTAAGTAATTACTAAAACATCCAGAATCATGGCTGAATGCATTTTGTTAGATAATTAAGTCTGTACAATGTGTGTGTGGGAAAAAAAAACAGCAGCAGAAACCCATTTTGGACCCTCACTGGACATGATGGAAGACATGGAGAACTCAGTGGAGCTTTAACCCTTTCTGGTTCCATGTGGTACTTTCTTCTTCCCCGGCTACAGCTTCTTCCAAGGGCTTGGTTGAGGGTTTAAAGTTTGTCCCCACACACGACTGGATATTTCTGTGGCAAACACCGCCTTGCTGAGGCTATTGTTTATTGAAGGGATGGTTACCAGGGCACAAACACATGTATTTGCACGGTTTCAGCTGCGTAATAGC